TACTAGACCAGTAATCAACAAAATGCAATGGCGTTTCCTGAAACGTCGTTGTTTACTGAAACGTCGTGGTACTCGCTTCCCTCCTCCTATTTTCTGTTTCAGTTCCATTACCCAATGATTTTCTTCTATATACTTCATCATGGTTAAATAAATTCTCAATAGTTGAAATAATTACTAAACTACTAAATCTCAGCAGTTCAGTTGTCTACTAATGATTCTAGCATTATCCATGCCCTTTTTTTCCCCATTTCAGTCCATATGTGCTATCATCAATGAATCACAATCTGGTATTGTAGACTTCCAATAGAAGCTCATTTATTATTTTTCCCTTATCACATTCTTTTCTTTTTCTTGATAAATATCTGTTTTATCACATTCTAATAGATCCCATTCTCAATGCAAGTTTCACAATATTAATTGTTCACCTTGGTGGAAAACATTATAAATTCTTTGGCATTACTTCAAATCATTAACTTTATTAGATAAGCTAACATCCCTACAACGGAAAAAAGAAAACAATTACTCCCTCCATTTTAAAAAGATTGTCCTAGTTTGAATTGACACAAACTTTAATAAATAAGGGAAGACTTTGCAGATATGTGGTCTTAAATAAGCCATAATATTTGTGTGGCTGTAAAACTTTTGAAACTTGTGGCCTGAAACTTGTCATAGCATTTGTGTGGCTACAAATGCTCCCTATTAAGGAAATATTGAAAGGTGTCAATCTTTTTTAAACGGACTAATAAGGAAATAGTACAACTCTTTTTGAAACAGAGGGAGCACGCACTATCCATGATGACACATAAAATGACAAGCAGCTGGAAAATGCAAATGCATAACACACCTAGACGAGTTGCAACTTCAAGTGCTTGTCTTATACTTGGGCTCCATTCATCCACGTGTAATTTCCCGGCAAGATTTCCGGACTCGTAAAATTCAAAGAAAAACATGTAATTTGGCGGCTTGGCATGCGCCGCCAGTAGTTTTGCTATCCCCGGATGATCCAATTTGCTATAGCCAAACAGCATTTTAACAAAAATTCACAAACAAATAAATTAGCCAAGCTCAAAAGCTTAACCATAAATCACAATTTTCTCATACGTAAAGATAAGGTAAATATACTAGCTTTGCCATTTAGAAATGGCCAATTTGCTATATCATTCTTTTTCTTTGTATAAGTGACACAACTTGTTACTCCCTCTAGTTCAAAAACAGTGAAGGGGTTCAAAGTACGAGTGTCAAATCTTCTAATTTTCATTCTCAGTTTGTACATCAAATTCTGAATCTTCTTAACTACAATATATATGATCAGAAACTGGATAAAAATACTATATAAATTAAAACTTTTTATAAGTAAGAATATTTAAAAAACTATATAAAAAACTCTTGCTCAAAGAAGCTGTTTGACTCCCTATACAGTAATAGTGTCATAGAAAGTGGATATTCAAACCACATTAAACAACAAGACACTCGAACAAATTAACCGAGCTCAACCACAGAACTCCATACCAAACAATTTGCTCATAGTTAGAACTACTAGCTTTGCCCATACACCATTCACAGAAAAACACATAAAGACAAAAACTAATCAATCTCAAACATATATAAACAACACAGCCCTATACTCAAACAAAATAAAGGGAGGAATTTCACCATAATAATTGCAGTTCTTTATGGAATTTATCAATATCCTCAGAGGTGGACAAGATGGGTTTTTTCACAGCAACTCTTTTACCATCAAGAATGGCTTCATACACCACACTTTCAGCCCCTGCAATCAAATGCCTTAAACCAATCAAGATTAGTAAAAATTGAATGTCTATATAGATTTCAATTTTTTTATAAAGGAATAAAGACCTCGAGCAATAGGGTGAGAGAGAGAATAAGAAGGAAGAGGGAGATGAATGGGGATTTTCGGGCTGGTACAGCAACCACGAATGCAAGTGTTAGGTTCCAAGATTTCCAAACCCATGTTCCTGTCCTCTCTTCCTCGTGAAATTGTCTTATCGAAATCAAAGATTGCAGCGAGGAAGAGAAATGGACATGCAAGAATGAAGCTCAGAGATATTATTGGTCACCATACATATTCTTCAGTTAAAAGGTGGACTCAATTGGAGGAACTTTCCGCGGTTGGTAAGCAAGTTCGTCTCCTCTTGGAACCCATTGGCTACATTTTTGCAAGGGAAATTACAAGTTATGTCCGTACATGAGCGACTTATTATAAAAATTAGTCAATTTAAAAAATATTATTAGTATTGTATTAGTCAAATGCTATCAATATTAGCCAATTAGCTATTTGGCATCAAAAAATATCAATTTTTTCCTTTGTTTTAGTGGGTATTATTGGAATATATTGCGTACATCTTAAAGAGTGTAAATCTCAATTTTTGGATGATTTGGTAGAGTTTTTAGGTGGTTTGAATTGAAAATTCGAAGTAGAAGATTAACATAAAAAAATATGATATGTGTATCATACTGTGTATCATTTGTGTATCACGTAAGTATCATATGTGTATCACGTGTATATCCATGTATGCATGTATGTGAGATACATGCGTGAAATAAGTTTGATATATGTGTCGCTAGAGAATTTTTTAAACTCGATTGTAACTACAAATTTGATACCAAATAAGTCCAAATCACCTCCAATCTTGCTCGAATTTTGTATATTGCTTCATCTATATGTTTTCAACGAATTCCAACCATTCACATTGGAAAAAAAATCCTTTTTAGCCTAAGTTTTTTAATATTGTATATCATTGGTAATGAATTTTGACTCCAAACTAGTTTAACTCACCTTCAAGCTTCGTCAAATTTTGTATATTGCCTCATCAATGTGTTTTCAACAAGTCGCAACAATACTCATTAAAAAAAATTTTGATTTCCTATATTTTTTTCATGTTGTATATAATTGGTTATTTTTTATAACATGACTAAAATGGCTAGTTATTGGTAAATAGTGTCTTTTTTGTTACATTCACGTAAGATTCTCTTTTTGTAACGTGACGAATAGTCTGTTTGGCCAAGCTTCACAACGAATAAGCTTATTTTGAGAAATGGTTTTTTTCAAAAGTGATTTTCTCCAAAGTACTTTTGGTTAGAAGCAGTTCGTGTTTGGCTAATTAATTTGAAAAGAACTTTTGAATAGTAATTAATATTTGGCAAAGCTTTTAAAAAGTGAATACCTGTGGAGTATAGCCAAGTGGTAAGGCATCGATTTTTGGTACCGGCATGCAAAGGTTCGAATCATTTTACTCCAGATTATGAACACCTGATCGGATTTGTCAAGAACGAGTCCTAGGTATCAAAAATCTAGTAAATAAAAGAAATCAAAAAATAAATAGTGGGTTCCTTCGTTTCTATGGTTACTTCTTAAACGGTGAGGTCTTCTCTATACACCGGAGCCTTTACTTTATACTTTAATTTAATATTTAATCAACTAATTGATGTTATTGGGAACTTGTATAGTTCACACTCTTTGGCTCTACCCATGAATTATCCAGTAATAGGTCTTTCACAATCAGATCTACCTATACAGTAACGGTATTTAATTATGAAAGTTTGCTGGGTAGCTGACCCTCTTAGTCCGTTCTTGCCAGAGTGGGAGCCTGCCTAATCTTTATGTTTTATGCTTTTTANTAACCTTTATTTTATATTTTAATTTAATATTTAATCAACTAATTGATGTTATTGGGAACCTACGGCTTTGATTTTTATTACTTCTACCCATGAATTATCCANAAGGAGCTATGACGTCATTCCTTGCAGCAATCACTGGAATATTACAAAATGATCTAAATTTCTCAAAAGTATTTTTCAAAAAAGTATTTTTGGAGAAAAGTTATTTTTTTCTGCTTATCCAAAACGGCTTCTGCTTCTTTTCAAAAGCAACTTTTTTTCTTCTAAAATCTTGGCCAAATACTTCAACTTAAAAAAAGAAAGCACTTTGTTTGAAAAAAAATGCTTTTAGCGTTGGAGAAGCTTGGCCACACAGGATAGAACTCGTATGCCCTGTTCTTAAGATAATAATAGAAATTTTATTTATATGTATTGTAAATAAGAGCAAAATGAAACAAGATTTGAGAGAAAAGAATATTCCCATTCAATTCTATATTAATACAAAAGGTAAAATACCTTTTATAAGGTGTAAACATCATCTAAAAGTTATAATTCTTCAATTGAAATATGTGATAAATACATAGATTCATTGAATAAAATGTATAAGAAAATTGAACGGACATCCACATTAAACCATCTTATTCGTAACAATAACAGTGCGGTACTAAAGAGAGAATTGTAATGTATTAAATCGATAGTTATAATAGAGACTAAGACACAATATCCAATACTAAATCATAATGAAACAACGGTATTAATCAGCAGTTATAGGGACATAAGAACAAAATATCTAAGAAATTGTGATACCTATAGGAGAATGGTGTCTATTTGCAGAAAGAGTATATACACATCACAGGTGAATAATTATTGTGCCTTACTTATCCACAAATACAATAATTTAAGAAAACCTTTTTAGAAATATTAATTACTTTTTTATTAACACTCTCAGACAATTTTCCAACGTAAGAATTCTTTTTATTTTGTAGCAATTTAAGCTAACTAGTGTATTCATTATTTTTAGGCTCCAATTTTGATAAAACATACACATCCTAATCTTTCCAATTTTTTCTCTCCCTCCAATTCACCCGTCTCTCACGGTATCCTCATCAATCTTTCCGTTACCACTTTCGTATGACATACAATGCATTCAATAAAGATCCAAAAAATATGAAGCGCTCACATTTGAAATCTAATACTTGGGATCTTTATTAGTTTGGGGTAAGTTGAGACGCCCCCTCCCTCTTTCTCCTTCTCCCTCCCCCAAAGAAACTTCAATAATACTTGAGTTTGAAGCTACCCCAACGCTAAAAATAAAAAAAATTGTATTCATTAGGTGACAATGAATACATTAAAGTGTGGGAGAGGGTAGTTGAAGCGAGGGTGAGGATGACAGTGTTTGTATCCGATAACTAGTTCGGGGTTCATGCTGGGTCGTTTGACTACACAAGCTATACACCTTGTTAGAAGGTTGGTGGAACTGTACAGAGAGAGGAAGAAGGATCTGCACATGGTGTTTATTGACCTAAATTGTATGACAAGGTTCCTAGAGAAATTCTTTGGAGATGTCTGGAGGCAAAAGGTGTGTCGATTCCCTACATTATGACGATTAAGGACATGTATGATGGGGCTAAGACTCGGGTTAGGACAGTAGGAGACGAATCTGAGCATTTTTCGATTGTAATGGGATTACACCAAGATTCTGCGCTCAGTCCGTTCTTATTCGCCCTGGTGATGGACGCGTTAACACACCATATTCAAGGAGAGGTGCCATGGTGCATGCTATTCGCCGATGATATAGTTCTGATTGATGAGTCGCGAGCCGGTATTAACAAGAGGCTGGAGGTTTGGAGACAGGCTCTTGAGTCTAAGGGTTTCAAGCTGAGCAGGACNAACCGAGAATTGATTTTGTGGTTACCGAGCTCGGATTTTGGTTCCCGGAGTTGTAGTAGGTCCGTTGTATCATTTATGACCTGTGTGCAAAATTTGAGGACAATCATACTTGATTTGATAGGTTTTGGCATCGATTGTAGAAGTTAAAATTCCTTAGTTTTCATTAGGCTTGAATTGGGGTGCGATTCGAGTTTTTGATGTGATTTGAGGGCTCGACTAAGTTTGTATTGTGTTTTCATAGTTGTTGGTATATCTGGTTGAGGTCTCGGGGGCCTCGGGTGGAGTTCAGATGGTTAACGGATCAAAAATGAGACTAGAAGCATTGCTGAAGCTGGGGGCCTTCTGGTGTGATCGCACCTGCGAGGGGATTGGTCGCAGGTGCGACGCCGCAGGTGCGGCTGGAGTGGCGCAGAAGCAAAGTTGGTCTGGCTAAGAGATCTTCACATGTGCAAAGAGGTGGCCGCAGAAGCGGAGTCGCTCCTATGGAAAAGAGGTCGCAAAAGCGGAGAATGGGAGAGGCTCAGGTGGTCAGGTGTTTCCACAGAAGCTGAAGTTCAGGCGCAGAAGCACTCCGCAGATGCGGATTTTGGGGCGCAGCTGCGGAGTTTGGGGACTTAAGTGAACTCCGCAGGTGCAGAGATTTTACCGCAGAAGCGGTCCCGCAGAAGCGGAATTTTGGCCCGCGGGTGCGAAAGCACTAGGCAGAGTTTAAAACTCGAGGGTTTCGTGATTTTTATCATTTTGGAAATTTCAAGTTCAGGCTAAGGCGATTTTTGAGAGGGACTTTGAGGGGTTTCTCGAGGTAAGTCACTTGTGATCATTTTTATTCAATAATATTGTTTTCCCATTGAATTTCCCAGCTAGTTTATGTGTTTTTTAGGTGGAATATTGGGAGTTTAAGGCTAGAGATTTGGAGAGTTTAAGTTGGGGATTTGAGTGACGATTTGGTGTTGGATTTTGGTAAATTTGGTATGGTTGGACTCGTGGTTGAATGGGCTTTCGGATTTTTTTTAACTTTTATTGGATTCCGATATGTGGGCTCGGGGGTCAACTTTAGAGTTGACTTTTTGACTTTTGATTAAGAACTTAGTATTTTCTTATGGAATTGATTCATTTAGCTCGTGTTGATTGTATCGAATTGTTTATGGCTAGATTCAAGGCATTCGGAGGCCGATTCGTAAGGCCTTGGCTTATTGGAGTAGAGATTTGCACGGTTTGAGGTAAATAACACTTCTAAACTTGGTTCTAAGGGTATGAAACCCCGAATTTGTGTGTTATGTGATTGGTGTTGAGGTGACGCACATGCTAGGTGACGGGCGTGTGGACGTGCACCGTAGGGATTGTGACTTGGTCGATTCCGTGGAACTGTATAGTTGAATAATCTTGTCGTTATCCATATATTCTCCATGTGTTAGAGAAATTGAGCTACAAGTCATGTTAGAAATCATTCTTAGGCTATACAGTGGTACCGTTGGGACCCACAAAGGTCATATTGCATGTCTAATTATTTGCTTAAAATTGCAATTATGTACTCACATATATTATTTGCATATCATATCTCTGTGACTGTGCCATTTATTGATATATCATATCATCATTGTTTGGGCTGATTTTCATGATTCTTGTGAGCCCGAGAGACTGGAGAGATTGATGACTGAGTGAGGCCGAGGT